GAAACATCATTTGATGGTCACCAGGGATGGGAGGAGGAAAAACGGATAATCTCTTTCTAGGCAGTAGACACAATTCGCATTATGAGGATGTCAGCACAGGGTGACCAAGGAAAATGAAGAAAGCTCTAAGTACGCAAGAATAAAGACAACTATGATAAATATTGTAACATACCCAATTTTGAAACAACAGTAAGAACAAAAAAAAATCTTAAGTAGTTACATAGGTAGATATGCATGCTATGCAGGTGTGGAAATATGCATGAATAATGGTTATGGTTAGCTGTGTACACAAGGGTTTTAAGTTCCTGGAATATTCCATTATCTTTTAAATTCAGTTTTGCAATGAACTTTTTGACACTTCCCCAAATATGTGTACTGAAAATATGACTATATATAGAGAGCACACATACAAGACGAAACTTTTTTGACACCTACACATCTCGTGGGAGGGGTTACTGGGCTTGAAGAGTGAAAAACATAGTCTTTAGGGGCATCTAACCCAAATGGCATAACATAGTTCATCATGACAGTAGTACTAGTTTGGTGAATTTGGTCAGTGATCTGGGGTCTTAAAAGCTTGCGTGTGGCCATCTAAGAAACAATTATTGGTTTCTGTCCGGAGCGAAGCAGAGTGAAGGAAACAAGCAACTCAAGGAAGTTAGTATTCCACAGGACTAATGGCCCACATGGACCACAGCCCCTTCCAGCCTGAGACCAGAAGAACTAGATGTGGTTCTGACCAGATATGCAATAGAAGATTTCAGAATGGGTAAACCATTTAGAACAAAACTCAAATTAATTTTTTTTTAAAAAGTCAGACTTACTGGGCTGATAGAGATTGGAGGAATTTCTAAAACTGCTGTCTTATGACACCCTTTTAACCTGGAACTGAGCTACTCCTGGAAGGTCACCTTTAGCTTACTTGGCACTAAAAAGAAGCTCAAGAAGACTCAAGAAACAAATTGTTGGGGGTTTTTTGGTTTGTCTTTTCCCCTAAAGGTCTGAGTACTCAGAAGAAATACTACAAACAACATATGTACAAATGGGCTTGCTACAATTGATATATGGATTGTTGTAAGAGCTGTAAGAGCCTCCAATAAAATGATTTATTTTTTAAAATGCCACAAAATCCAAAAGTATTATTCAAGCAGGAGCACATCAGTCCTTTGCTCACAAAGGGCTTACTTTTGCTTTAGACTCAATCTCAACAAGCTTTTTATTTGCTGTTTAGCCCCACAACTGATTAACAGAAATTAATGAGATGGAGTAATTGGGATTCCTGTAAGGTGACCTCATGCTGACAGCAGTTAAGGGACTTCATCTGACAGCAAGGGAAGAAGGGGACCTATTCCTGAATTTAAAGTTCTGTAAATTCCAGAGGGAGAAAGGCATCACAGCACTATAGAACAGCTTATCTACCACTGGGTAATTCCAAGTCATAAATTAAAAAGTCATGAATATGAGATTTAAGTGAACAAGGCAGAGAAGCATTTAAGATGTGTTTGTGGATGATTTCTATCTAAAATGGTTCAAATTTTTCACAATTAAAGAAGTTAGAAACTGTAAGAATATAAGCAATGTCACTAAGTTGTACATGGTAGAAATTGCTGAAGCATATGTTCTGCTGTGTATATTATCAAGATCGACAAAAAAATTTAAAAATAAAGTAGAAACTAAAATTTTTAGGAAAGACTTGGCTTCTAAGGATTCTAGGTAGCTATTGTTAACATTAATAGAATAGAAATTCACTCTTATTCATAAGTTTTCACTAGATTTGTCATAACTCACTTTACCCTAAGTACAACCATTTTGTTTCAAGCTGAAAGCCTCACCCTCTCCCAGCACAAATTGTTCTAAGTGATATGCCACAGTGGCAGCAGCCTTCCTCTGTTAACCTCAAACAGCCATCTTCCCCTCAGTCCACCCCACCTGGCCTGGCCTGGCCTGGGACCGGAAGTGGAGATAACCAACTCCCTTGAACTGCATCTTGCCACGAGCTGCTCCAACTCCCTTTTCTCTGTGCCTCACCACTTGCACAACAGTTACCAGCACCTGCTCCAGCTCCCCTTGACCTGTACAGTGCAAAACCCTTTGTAGAATAATAACATTGGAGGCTCAGGGTGGGTTACGCAATAGCTGACACTCTGAATGCGGATAAACTTATCCTCTTTGATAAACACTGCGGAAGTTTCTCATTAACCGTGCCATAACAAATGCAGAAAGGAGTGCATCATGCAGGACATTGTGATTTTTCTCCCCATCCTGATATTGTACTACTCATCTGATTCCATGAGACACCTTAGAATTCTACCAAAAAACTCAAGACAACAGAATTTTAGCTACTAACAAATAAAAGAAACGTCACTAATACAAAATTAAAAGGGTTCAGAAATTGAAGCCAGTAGAGGTGGGAAACTGTGACTCATGTTCCACCTAATTAAAATGGTAGTCTCAAGGTCACGCAGACTATCAAGAGATTTAATCTCACGTCATCTGAAGCGCACACTTGGGACTCAACAGGAATTCTGTTTTCAATTTGTGTATCCATCTGGGTTCAGCGGGGGCCATTTCGGACAACCTTGTCATCCCTCTGTTTTAGAGAATATGAAAGTGGTTCCATCAGAGCTGGTCCAGTGTTAGGTATTACAACAGAAATGGTTATTAGGAACTCTTGATTATCAAAAGTCCTTAATTACTGGCATTTTGTTTCTTCTCCCGCTATTTCCACACATATACATAAAAACCAAAGAGGTAATCATATATAAAATGAGAACAGTAAAGGTTAATGTGTAAGGGTCCAAGATAAGTAATGAGGAACAGGCTAAGCAAGTTAGGAAACTTTAGTGGTTTGCTTTATTTTTCATGAAGAATGTCCTAGTTTAAGAGACAATTCTCACACTACATTCTAGGCCACAGGTATGAGAGTCACAATGGGCAAACTGGCTAATGAAGAAACTAGAAAGAGAACAAAAGACAGGTGGATCACATGATTCCTGGGTTCTATTTCCTTTATATTAAGAGTCCAGTGGCTTAATTTTGATAAAATACAACATTCTTTCTTGATGAAAGCCCAAAAGATGATGGGAACAGGGAACAGAAGAATTCCTCAGTATGATCCAGAATATATATATATATGAAAAAGCCAATAGTCAACATCACACTTAAGTGTAGAAACACTGAGAGCTTACCCCCTTGAAATCAGGAACAAGACAAGTGTGCTCCTCGACCACTTTATTTGATATTGTATTAAAAGTCCTAGCAAGAACAGTAAGACAAGAAAAAGAAAAGGTATCCAGATTAAAAAACAAAACAAAACAAAGTTATCTCTATTCAAAGATAATGAGCCAATAGCTAGAAAATCAGAGCCTACATGAAAACTTCTAAAGCTAATAGAAGAATTTACCAAAGTTGTAGGGTACAAGATCAATACATGATAATCAGTTGGGTTTCCATACACCAGAATTGAGAATTCGAAGAGGGAAACAAGGCAAACAATTTACAATTGCAGCTACAAGAATGAAACAGCTGGGAAGAAATCCAAACAGTGACGTGAAGGATTTATGCAATCAAAACTCTAAAGTGCTACTGGAAGAAATGAAAGAGACTTAAATAAATGGAAAGCTGTTTCCTGTTTATGGATTGGAAGGCTTAATAGTGCTAAGATGTCAATACTAAGATGAAACCACAAATTCAATGCATTCCTATCAAAATTCCAACAGCCATCTTTACAGAAATATAGAAATGAATCCTCAACTTTATGCAAGAAGCCCCAAATAAGTAACAGCACTCGTATCTCCTGATTTTAAAAACATACTATACAGTCTGGTTGTGGTATAACAATAGACACTCAGACAGAAATAGAGAAATGAATCCTCAACTTTATGCAAGAAGCCCCGAATAAATAACAGCACTCATATCTCCTGATTTTAAAAACATACTATACAGTCTGGTTGTGGTATAACAATAGACACTCAGACCAACAGAATCGAATTGAGAGTCCAGAAATAAATCCATACATCTATGTTCAACTGATTTCTCACCAGGGTGTTAATATAGCCTCAAAATGAGACTTGCACAACAATGTTCACTGCAGCATTTTTCACAATAGCTGAAAGTTGGAAACAGCCAAAATGCCCATCGATTGATAAGTGGGTAAACAAAATGTGGTACATACATAAAATGGAATATTACTCAGCCAAAAGGAAAAATGAAGTCTTCATAATGCAATTATAGGGACAGAACTCGAAGACATTATGCAGAGCAAAGTAAGTCCATCACAAAATCGAAAATATCTTACGATCTCACTTATATGAAAAGATACATGTATAGAGACTAAGGTTAATTAGTGGTTCCCAAGGGCAGGTAACCCTGGACAACAGAGGGAGTTTCAGTATCTGGAATAGAAGGAGGATATGGAATGTGTGGCTAATTGCCTCTATGAACAACTGCCTCCTTTGCCATGAGACCATCATTCAGAGGTCCTCAAACTTTTTAAACAGGGGGCCAGCTCACTGTCCCTCAGACCTGTTGGAGGGCTGGACTATAGTTTAAAAAAAACTATGAACAAATTCCTATGCACACTGCACATACCTTATTTTGAAGTAAAAAACAAAATGGGGCAAAAACACCCGGCGGGCCGGATAAATGCCCTCGAGGGGCCACACGTGGCCCTCGGGCCATAGTTTGAGGACCCCTGCCATAATTGGAGAGTCCTCAAGCTACCATTACTGAATATCCCGAGGAGAAGGTTCCATAGAAGAATCCTGATTAAAAGGAGGGAAATACAGAATTCCAAATTCTTATAGACACCAGATTTTCAGGAGCCTTGAGGGTTAGAGGAACCCTTGAAACTATTACCCTAAAGTAATCTTTAAAACTTAAAACAGAAGTGTGCCCTGAAATCCTCTTAAAACCAAATAGTTTAGCTTAACTAGTAAAAAAAAAGTCTGCCTTGAGTATTGGGCTCTTTTAAGAACTCTATATGGGACTAAATTGATTATGGTAAATGAAAAAATAGTTAAGAAATTGTACAGGCAGTGAGTTTAGATTAGTAGGGAGGGGCAACTCTGAAAAGAAGGGTTAGAATGGTTAACCAACTCAAGGACTGTATCAAGGCCACTAAATGGTACATGTATCAACTACTGAACTGGCATGTTTTGTTGTGCATATTCTCAATAGCAGAAAAATAAAATTATATCTGCATTTAAAAAAGAGTCCATTGGCTTAAGGAACACAGAGCTGTGTGAAGGGTGATGGGAAATGTGGGATGATGATGGTTAAACAGCATGATGGACATATTTAATGTCACTGAATTGTTCGTACAGGAGCCCTGGAGGTAGAGTGGGTTAAGTGCTCACCTGCTAATGGACCGGTCACCAATTGGAACCCACAGCCAGTCTGAAGGAGAAAGGTGTGGCATCCTGCTTACATACAATGTACAGCCTTGGACACCCTCTGGGGCAGTTCTGCTCTGTCCTCTAGGTTTCTATGAGTCCGAATTGACTCAAGGCAGTGGGGTTGGATAGGATTGGCTTCCCTGTCCCCTAGAGACATCCTGTAAACTCTGCTACTCTAGTTACTCACTGACCATAATAATGGTGTCTGGGGCCGTTCTACTTTGTTCTACAGGGCCAGTATGACTCAGAATCGATGACGGCGCAATGGCAATAAGTTTGGCTTTCTGGTTTTGAACTGTACAAGTACAATTGTCGAAAGGGCAAATGTTTTCTTACCTATACATTTACCACATATTAAATTTAGCTCCACTAAAAACAACGAAACATTGAAATGGGGTTTCATCTGTTTCTTAGAACAAGAACAAGACTTTTTTCACCTCAAACTACAAACTTAAAAAAAAGAGGCCAAAAATATCTTAAGGGAAGTTGAAGCAAAAACAAACACCAATAAATACACACAAAAAAGCATTTAAGACATTCAGTAATCCCTTCTCCCCATTCCTTACCCCCACTCTCGGCAGAGATGCTGCTGTAAGGAGGGGGAGCATCGCTTCCAGCCTGCTCTGCTTCTCCTGGCTCTTCTTCATTCTGCAACTAAATGGAAAGTTCATAGTTTAACGCAAGAAGAAAGCAATTTGGCAATGTGTTTCCAAACACTTAAAAAACTTGACAAACCCTTTAGCAAAGTGTTCTACTAGGAAATCTGCTATTTGAAATAGCGCCTGAAAGTATGTCATCCTGCCATTGGTAGTCTAGGTAGTTCACTCAAGTTATCTTCACGAAGACATCTGTGCTCATACATTCAATTCACTGACAAGAGGAGCTGTATAAGACAGGAGTCAGTCAGTCTACAGAATAATAGCCAGCTATTTCTCAGTGTACCTATGGGTCTAGCTCTGATTTCATTAGAATCATGCTATATAGTGTTAACTGAGCCACTTGTAAAATGCTGTTAGCTGGTCAAGGCTGCCCGATTCATGAGGACACCATTCATAAGAGGATGAAATGCTGCACAACCATCTTGTGTGACCCCCCCATGACCCGTGAGGGTCGAACCACCATACTCAAGGGTTTTCAAGGCTTGGTTTCCCCTAATAAATCAGCGTCTGTGATACTGAACAGATTTCAGCAGAGCTTCCAGAATAAGGCAAACTAGAAAAACCTGGCAATCTACTTCTCAAGACAACCTTTCCTTAAACCCTCTACTTGTTACCATTAAGGCAATTCATACATACAAAAAGCCTCCACAGTTGATCCCTGAACAATATGGGTTGGAACTACATAGGTCTCCACTTACACCCAGGAATTTTTGTTTTTAATGACATGTGATGCAAACTTCTCCCCACATATGCAGTTTGTCTCTCTAGTCAATTGAGTATTTCAGTATAAATTGATTGTTCACAGGTCTTATGTATTTTGTATCATATTTAGTGCAATCCCTTGAATCACCATGAGGCCTTTATGAAGTGCCATTAGTGATGCTGGAAGTGTTCTAAATAAGTAAAGAAAAGTCATGACATTACAAGGAAAGGTTGGGTTGACAGACTGGGGTCTATAGCTGTGGTTGCCTGCTATTTCCAGATGAACAAATCCAGCACAAGAACTATTGTGGGGGGTAAAATAGGAAAGAAAATTTGTGTAGCCCTCGTTGTACTTATACCAGCACACACAAAATCCTTGCATTTACAAAATACCATTTTATCTCATATGAAAATGCAGCTTCTATGTCAGTGCAGTATATAGTACTTATAACAAAAAATGTGTTGACTGCTTCTATAATTGGTAAGGTCCTGGCTAACCATAGTTAAATTTGGGAGGAGCCAAAAATTCTGTGCAGGTTTTTGACTGCACATGGGCTGGATGGTGTCAGGTATCCTTTGAATTGATACAGAAAAACGACAGAAGGAGCTTGAGGTATCATACCATTAAGTAGGGCAACCTATTAAATTTTAACCAACCATCTTAATCTCTAATCCCTATGCTATTCAATAACACAAACATACACACACCACTGTCATTCAGTCAGTCGATTCTGACTCACAAAGATGGAATATACAAGTCAGAGTAGAATTGTTCTTTAGAGTTTCCGAGGCTGTAAACCATTCCAAGAGGAGATAATGTCATCTTCCTCACACACTGGCTGGTGGGTTTGAACTGCCAACATCGAGGTTAGCGGTCCAACACCTAACACACAGCACTGCCAGGGCGCCAATGTTAAACTTAAGGCACTCATAAGATAACTGTATTATAAACTTAGATGGAAACTTCTTTTAAATAATGGTACACAGACAAAATAATTGGGGTGCTCCCACCTAATTCACACACACAACACACTCAAATGTTTTAATTGTAAGAAAAACAAAATTTTTAAAATTGGGGTAAAGTGAATTTTACTGGGATATCAAGTCAAGGAATTATTTAAAGAGAGCCCAGGGCCATGGTTCATTTGAAATGGTGGTGTTTAACATCACCTGAAGCTCTAGCCAGAGTATTCAAAGCCTCCTCACACTTAAAATAGGTTTGTGCCTTGGGAAGCCCAGGGAAAGCAGCAAAAGAATACCAAGAACAGGGGCCAATGCAGACTTTTCAAGAACGTCCCCTTAATTTACCGCTGCCAGTAATGTCCTTTCTTTAAACCTCGCTCAACATTTCTGTCTGGCTTTGTAGTTCCTGAGCCCAAAGTAATCATGTTACTTCTGCATAATTTAGATTTCAGAAAGGAGGCCTGGAAATTCTTAAGAAAGACAGAAGTCTCCAGAATAAAGAGACTTTATATACCAGAATCTACAAGAGAGGAGTCTGTCTCTTAGCAACTGGCAGTGTGAAATGTGATCACCACACACCACAGTAGCACAGACACCAGAGAAATTCCAACCTTCTCACAAGCCTCGCTTTCTTTTAGAGAGGAAAGAAAGGTCTATTTCCACATTGAAAGTTTTTGCCCCATTAAAATTTTCACTTTAGAATTATGTTAACATTATTTTCAACAGGAGTATGGGAGCTTCAGAAAGTTCCTGGAGAAATTCTATTATCCAATTATTTCATTTTTCTGTGAACTTTTGAAGCCCCCTGGTATATAGATAAAGGAGAGCCATAAAGTCACATCCTTCAAAACGTAAAGAGTGTATCAATAGCCATTAGTTTGACTCAGCAAGCCAATTAAGTCAGGTACTCACTAACAGAAGTGGAACATGCACACTTGAACTCGGCTGAGCTTACCTATGGGCTACCAGATGTCTGCTCCCGGCAAGATTTAGTCTCAGAAGTAAGAGAGTCACTATGCATTGGAATTCACATCGCTGACAGTGGTCTAGGTATAAGACTATATAAAACTGGTCTCCAAACGGCTCTCCTTTAAGGTTCTCTTTTTTTCGTCCCTTGGAATTTGTCCTGTCCAAGCCTCCCCACCACACACATCCCTAGGGCTCAGGGGTCTTTAGGCTCTCTCCTGAGGCTGAGTGTCATCATCATCTTGTGGCTGGAGTTGAAAAGATGTTCAATTTCTCCTACTAACTGGGCCAGTGAGGCCAGAGTGCACTCAATGTCATGGGACTCTAGTTGTAGAGGTGGGCCATGAGCAGGTCTGAGAAGGGTGGGACCTGCTGAGTGTGACCACATGACTTTGCAGATAGGCAATAAAGGTGGTTAGGGTCTGGATTCTTTTCTATCACACAAGTTCGGTCAGTTTTACTTATCTCCAAGTAATGGCAACATGCTGCACAAAGTAGGGAGTTTAGCTACTCATCACCACATGCCTCTTGATTGCGAGGAAAGAAAAAGGTAGTCATTTGAAAATTCGGATGGCTTTCTCTTTAGCCACACTCAGGGTGTGCCCTCACTTCTGCTTCCCTGCCTCCCTGTACTCCTATCTATACTCAAAACAGACTCTTCATGGCACCCCCAAATGATCCTAAACTCTGCCACGTCCCTGCTTTAGATACCTCTGGTTAGCATCCACCACAACCTCTTATACCCTTCCAGGGATTCTTGCCAACAAACAGGTGCTCCTCAAGTTTTACTCTCTAGATTGCCTATAAAAAATGCTAATCTAAAATAAACAAAATGCTCTCCTTTTTCGCCTCCTTCCTCTGTAAGTAGGGACTATTTCTATATCTGTTTAGCTATCTTCAAATATATTTTTTCTTTTTTCTCCTTGCCACCAAGTCATTTCTGAATCATAGTGACCGTAGCGGACAGAGGCCCTTGTGGGTTTCCACTTTCTTTCAGGGTGGAGGGTCTGTCTCCCACCCTGTGAAAGAGCCCTGGTAGTGTAGTGGTTACACACTAGACTGCCAATCCAAGTAAGCAGTCTGAAATCACCAGCGGCTCTGCAGGACAAAGACCAGGCTTTCAACGTCAGTCAGGGGGCGATGTAGCAACGATGAAAAATACAACTTTCCTCTAGTTCCTAAATGCTTCCTCCCCGCTCCCACTATCATGATATGAATTCGACCTTGCAAGTCTGGCTAGACCAGAGGATGCATGCTGGTACAGATAGGAACTGGAAATACAGGGAATCCAGGGCGGATGAGCCTTACAGGAACAGTGATGTGAGTGGGAGGGTAGAGGGAGAGTGCGTAGGAAAGAGGGAACCGATTACAAGGAACTATATGTGACCTCGAAAAGTGGGTGAAGGGAGATGTCGGACAGGGCAAGATATGACAAAATAATAATTTATAAATTATCAAGGGCTCATGAGGGAGGGGGGAGCGGGGAGGGAGGGGAAAAATGAGGACCTAATGCCAGGGGCTTAAGTGGAGAGGAAATGTTTTGAGAATGATGAGGTCAATGAATGTACAAATGCACTTTACATAATTGATGTATGTATGTATGGTGATAAAAGTTGTATGAGCCCCTAATAAAATGATTAAAAAGAAAGAAAGAAAATGATAAGCAAATTAAAAAAAAAAAAGTTACTGTCTTAGAAACCCAGTCTTGGAAAACTACCCTGCCCTATAGAATCATCATGAGTCACAATCAACTCAACTGCAGTGAGTTTGAGTCTGTCAAAAACCACGTCAAAGTTATTCTTAGATTCTTTCTATTTACCAGGAGTGAGAGAAAGCAAATATTAAAATAAAAATCACTATTGAACAACAAAAACAAGAAAATTATATATGTAGAGAAGTATCAAGACAAACCTTATAACTCATTCTAACACAAATAGCATGTAAAATATAACACTGACCTAACCAATAAAATTGGAAGTATTTGCGTCATTGAAAAAACTTTTTTCTTGGTTGCGGCCTATTTAAATAGTCAAGGAGATTCTTAGAAATTTTAAGTCCCTTCTTTTAAGTTATCCACAGTAAGGCTCAGATAATCCTGAATGAATGTCTAAACTCTAGCTTTAAATGTTATTCACCCACTTCTAATTTTAGAGTTGACTTCTACAACTTTTATCTTAAAATGCAATTTTTAAGCCTTTCATTACCAACCCACAGCTTCTGCATACTTTCAATCTCACTAAATGGGACAATATAAAAAGAGCATAAAACAAGCACATTTCTTTAAGTAAACAGCCAAGTATGTATATTACTCTATTGTTCAACCACAGCCAGAGTTTGTAAGGTACATCTTTTTAGTGTATGAGT